CTTCTTCTTCTTCTTCTTCGCCGTGAGCTTCGCGATCCACACACCCTACCATTATTTCCGACCACGTTGCTCTTATCGAGATTCAAGTGAGCTGCTCCTCGTTTCGTCTCGGAAGCTCTTTTCGGTAGGATGCCGACATGATCGGCCGCGGAGTGACATTTCTTTCAGGAGAACAGCAATAGCATATCTTGTGGCAATAAGTCGCTTAACGAACATTTCAGTATGTAGTATAAGAAAATGCTCGGTGATGACCCCGCGAAAAAGAGTTCAATGCACACATCACAGATTTAGATATTTAATTAATATATAAATAACATTTAACTCTTTTTCCGTTAACTTAAATGAATGGGTTTTTTTTTTATTTCCCAATTAATTTCGAGCTTTCTTAATTAGTTCAGAGCAAGTTGCGAAAAACTAATGAGATATCTGATAGAGTTTAAGAGTTGGAGATACCATTATTGGATTTTCTCGGATTTCTTTACGGATTTTCTCAATGATTACTACGCGCTTTACTTATGTGTAAATATTTAATGTGCTAGTTTCGTGACCCGCCACTGTTTAAAGGCAACAGTATAACGTGACGATGTCGACTGTCGTGAAGATAATGGCCTTTTGCGAAAGAGAACCCAGAATGTCTCTAAGTGGAAAGGTTTGCAGAATCTCGGTCGCATATCTTGCATCTTTTTCTTTTTCTTGCATCTTCATTCTTTTTTCTTTTCAAATTCCTCACAAATGCAGATGATTAACAAAAATATCACGAAAAATACGTTTCGATGCGACAGATTTCGACAATGATGAAATAATTTTTGTGTTGCAGTTTTACGTATTTCTCGTAATAAGAATCTACAACATGGATTTTAGTTCATATTTGGCAAACATGTAACGAAACACAAGCGTGCCAGATTTTTATGTAAATAGACCATCTCGACTCTCAAAGTTGAGTGGCAGGAAAATAAGCGAGAAGATGTTAAAAAAACTAAATTTATGTCATAATCGCTCGCGTTAAACAATGATAAAACCGGTTACTTCGAGTTTCAATGTAGGTGAGTACAGTGGGTGTAACTAAGCTTATTTTCAAATTAAAATTATCTATGTGGATTATACCGACAATGAGTCACTTAAAGTATCCCATATTTCGTAGAATCACTTCTTTTGTGGATAACTTTCTTCTATAAACACCGTGCTTCTTAAATAAGCCGCAGTGCAATACTTTTTGCAAATGAATAATCAATTCGTGCAGACAGCATCATAATTACGGCACTACGTCTTCGGGAATGTCCATGGAGTATAATCAGACAATTATGTACTGGCATGAATCATGCGAATTGCGATTCCTTGGAAACGTGTTCTTGTCAATACAAAAATAGTGCAAATTTAAAACATTCTTGCATTCGAAAACAGATTCAAAAAATAAAATTTCTTAATATTAAACTTTGTTCGTGGAAAGAATGACTTTAAGGATAAAAAAATGGTCTTTCTTTCTGTCATTAGATTGCTGTGGTACGGAATGTCGCAATGTAAATTGCGAAAAATGGGCTCTCCTTTGTCGTTTTTGTTTAAGAAAATTTTGTGAAAATTATCCGCGTAACTGATCGACTGATTATGAGATATAATTTTTATCTGACAATGAGAAAAGAGAATTTCGTCGGTGCGGAGGCAGGTATTCGTGAGTCCGGCATTTGTGAATGCGAATATAGTGAATATAATGAAAATTCTTGTTAGCCTTGCGCAACCTTCCGTGAATTGAGAAGAAACTCGAGTGACTCAGAGCAGCACGCACAAGCGATTCGGTCCACACTCCAGTGATCTGGTATTTAGGTACGGACCTGCCGCATCGCATCGCATCGCATCGTATCGCATCGCATCACAGCGGTTCGCCATTCTTCAAGGTCACGTCGCATCGACCGAGGTCGCCGGCGCGGCGTAGAAAAAGGCGATGCGCCATAAATATCGGTCCGTACGTGATGACCATCGGCTTCATCTTGTTTCATTGGTGGTCCAACGATGGATGAAAATGTAGCGGGGAATCGATTAATGTTCGTATTCTTCGTTCGTATTCTATTGTACTTTTAACGAAGATTCAGAATGAATGCGAATCGTAAAATGAGCATTTAGAGGAACAAGGAATTTCATTCATTTGAGTG